CTGTTATAAATATTAGTTTTCATAGATTCCTTTCAAATTTGTGTTGCATTTAATGCAACTCAATTTCTAACTTCTCTCTATCTTTAATCCTGCTTCATTCTAGTATATATGTATGTATATAATTAAAAAAATGGTCTTTTTTTTCTTGCTTTTATTTATTTTTTGTAAGATAATGACTCAGTTGACACACACATATACATTTTATTTCGATTCTCGTACATGGCAATCTAATGTGTTCCTAATGTAAATACTTTGCTGATCTGTTCTTCTGCCAAGAGTTCATTAAGATTGTTTTCAAGGAAAGCTAACCGTAACTGATGTGAGAAAATAATTCGAATCCTTACCTTCGGGCAACGTTTTTTTTTCATGGCTTCACCGGGTTACTTTCGTTATAATGGGTATTTCCGAAACCGAACAAAGTGCTTTGGATAATTTGATTATCTCCATTATTCTTCGCTTCGAGTCTGGCAAGTTCTGCTTCGGCATCTTAAATCTTATTTCCTAGTAAAAGTTCTCTGGAAGATTTTGTTGTCTAGAAATTTAGTAGATCGCAGTTAATTGATACAGTGATTTTGGCAGCTCAATTTTATGTAATAGTTTAAGGAAATAAGGGACATTAATTTAGTTTTCATCAAAATAATTTTTCTCCTTTTAGTGGAAATGCATTTAGATGCACGATAATTTTATTTAGTTTTAAATCTTGTTGTGAACATAAACTAATATATATAATGATTTTAAAATGCGTAGATGAAAACAGTGGAACTTTTAACAGCTTAGATACTGCGTAGATGACCGAGAAGACCGTAGTGGCTTGAAGGTGGCAGAGTGGAAAGCATGATGACGCAATTCAGCACAACGTATCTTGAAAACTCACAGTCTTTATTTTTTTTACGTATATTAAACCCTCCTTTCGCAAATAAGATGTTTCATAATTATATTTGAATACAGAAAGTTCCAATTTGAAGTACGATGTCATCTTAAGCAAGCAAGCAGCAGCATGGATGAAAAGCGTCCTACCAGCAGGTGAGCTTATGCGAAAAAAGGGAGAGTGTCATAGCACTTCAAAGAGGAAGAAGGTTGGGAAGCGGAAAAGTTTCAGTTCAGAGTTTTGATTTACAATTAATTTGATTGGACAAGAGGTATCTGCATTAAAACGTTCCGTAAGATAGAAAAATCCGGTGACGTGAAAAATGTGTAATGCCCTCGCGAGGACTCGCATTTAGACCTCTTGAATACGCGCTCGAATACTGAGTGTGGTACTGTTACACTACAAAGGCATACTGGAAAAAGGAAGAAAATAGCTTATTTATATACTACGAATTCGTTCTTGCTAATTGGCTCGAGCACTGGTGGTGAAAAAATATAGCACTTCGAAAAAGCATTTAACTCATAGAAAGTTTCAGTCATAGGGCAGCACCTGTCGGTCCTATAGTAAAGTGCTGGTGCCTCTGTCTGCTGTTTACTGTCAAGAATTACAGAAGATTCTTCAAAAAAGTTACGGGAGCTAAACCTTTATACAGGGTAACAGTCTTTGGTAGTTTGTTCTGGCGCACTTAATTTTATTAATGTCTGTGATAGACTTTTGTATTTCATCCGATATCACCAAGAAAAAATTAACTTTTGAGGAAAAGTAAAATTGCGCATTAGTCAAGAAGTTTTAAGAGACGTGCATGAAAACAGAATTTAGAATATTACTTGTAGTTTACTGAAAACTTGTATGATGCTTTCTTAACTTGAGAAAGTCTCTTTTTAGTAGATTGGCGATCAGGCAAATAGAAGTTCACAGAAAAAATGTAATTTGGTATAATATTTTATCATATAATGCTATAATGCTAGAGTTAATTATTCGAAGGTGTTCATTTTTTTAAATAATGATAATTACGTTGCATAAAAGTTTATGTACGTGCAGTAAAAGCTTCATATTTCGATTGCTAAAAACATTAAAATTTAAATCTCTGTGTATCAAGGTTTGATTTTCATTACTGTAACATAGTTAGTTACAAGAAGAGAAAAATTATTAAACTAATATTCAAAAATATGGTGTAAAAATAGCAAAATATACGGTTTAGCATTTAATAACGTGCGGTATTAACATAAACAGTGTTAGCCTTCTCTGTAATAAGTCTAGATGAAGCATTTTGCAATTTTAAATTCGCATACTTTCAGATAACAGCAATTTATTTTGGTTTGATATATAATGAATATTTTATCTGTCTAATGATATTTATATCCTTTCAAATGAACTCAGATGCGTATAAGTGAAACTACGTAACACAAGCAAACACAGAAAATATTTTACTAGTATATTTGCTAGAAGTTTCAGTGTAAATAATCTGGTAATATTTCATTAATTATATAAAAATTGCTGTTTCATTGCCACTAAATTATAGATATTTTGTTCGGGCTTAACGTATAATCTTAAAACTATTAAGCTAAATGTTGAGTAGTACCATAATTATCTAGCAAACTTTATATTATGAAAGGATATCTATTTCTGCTTTTAATATGTGTGTTTTTAAAAGTATTTTAAAATTCCACCAAGTTCAGTAAATTGTCTCCATCATGCATTAAAGGAAGAAAAACTAGATCCAAGGACTGCTAAGTGTCTAACAATTGAACAATAATACATAAACAAGTTACCATCTTTAGAAAAATTCATAAAATTTAAATTACCAGCAGGATTTATCTCTAAATAATAAAGCCCATCTGCGGACGAGCTTTAAGTCGCTGAATACTCATACTTTGACCTGGGTTCGATTCCGGCGTTTTTTTTTTTTTTGTTATTTTGTTTTACCCCGTGTGCAAGAGCCAATTTTCCCTTAGAAAATTCTCCTCGAAGGCATTAGTGCTTTTAAGTAGCCTTAGCATGCTTTGCGGAATAAAAAAACCTAAACTAAAGCCGTTAAGTAATATTATGTCGGTAACGGCTCCTGAAACAAAACCCAAAAATCCGTCTACCGATGGCAGTGAATGAGTAAAGTGCTGTAAGAATTGTTTTTATATAATTATTCACTCGTAACTATCTCGTTTGATCTGTTTATGGAAAACAGTTTTTGTGTAGAGGTATGTTGTATAAAGGTTAGATAGGAAGATTTTCAAGCTGCTTCTGTTTCAGTTTCCCAATTTTAAACATAAGAGCCCTCTACTGGGTTTTTTGAACCTTATAATGACGTGCATGAATCTGCAATTGGAGAATAACAGCCTTCAATACTTGGTCAAAACGAGTGGGAAGCCTACTATATTTTGCCATAGCAGGTGATAAAGACATCTCTCTCATTATATTGCAGAGATGTAATTGAATTTGGTGTCAAACTTGAAAAGAGCCGTAAAGATATACCTGAAATTTTACTCTATGCATATAGAGATAAAACATTTAGCCAGGCTTCAGTATTTTAATGATAAATACACTTCACGGCTGTAACACGCAAGTTACCGACTTCTGGAATGGATAATATCCAGCGTCGTTGCAGATGTCAACAGTGCGCACTTGTGGGCAGACTGTAACAGGAACTATTATGTAGGCCTTCTGAAAACCATTTGCGTAAAACCATGAGAAAGAAAAACTTGGATTTCCTTAAGAATCAATGAATCCGTTCCCAGACAATGCTTTGCTGTGTGTTGCCGCTGTGGAATTCGTAGCATTCTCTGATAACTGTTTGTCAGCATTGAAATATCCTGCATATATGTGTAGCTTAGACTTAATGATAATGATTTTTGCATATTCCCAATTGTCAAAACGCAATCATGCAAGAAAAGGTCCTCATGAAATGAAAAAGTGAGAAATAGTATGAGTGAAGCTCATAAGAATATATCAAATAAAGAAGATATTACAGAATAATCTATTTTGTGATTTTGAACTGTTTGTAAAACTCTTCTAAAAATTTAATTCATTAAGACAGACTCATATTTGAAAAACGAAGAAATATAGGAATGAATATTTTGATTCTGAATGACAGTTGATTTCTAACTGAGAATTAATATCGGTAACCTCCATTCATAACATTTACTACTAATTACTACTTCTGTATAACTTTCTGATTTGTAGATCACAGATTTAAAAAAACGTCCAGTTTAGGTCAGGAATAGCATGCTAGTGTATTGTTTCGTACAATTATTTACACGAAAAGAATATTTCTTTGCTTGTTCATTTCTCATGCTCTACACATAAAATTTTAAAACTAGTAGACATCTTTAAAATTTTCTCATAATCATAAATATTAACATTATTCGTTCAGTAAATGTTTAAGTGTTCAAATTATACGTTCTTTTCTGATGATTTCTTCAATTCAAATTATAGGAAAAATTTTATTTAAATTTTCATCAATTTTCTAAAATTATTCAGATATTTTTATAAAGTAAAAAATATTAAAAGAAAAAATCTGTTTCTCTTAGTAAGAAAGAAAATGTTCTGGAATATGGATTTTTTTGAGAAATTCTGTACGATGCTGAATCAGAGCATTTGAACATAACTAGGTTTTAAATGATAGCCCAAACTTCACACTTTGTAATTATCTTATTTATTTAATATATATTTTATACCTTTATATAACATGTTACACATACTTTAGTCTTTTACTATATGATGACAAACTTTATGGAAGTACATCTACTAGTGTTCACTAAAATATCCTGTTTGTGATACTTTATATTCATTGCTATCTTATTTACGTTCTTATTAATAAGCGATTTATTTTTAACAGTATTAAAGTATAATTAGTAGTGTTTTATTATTAATAATGCTTTAAAGTATAATTAATAGCGTTTTATTATTAATAAAGTAAATTATTAACAGTAATTATTATTGAAGTTATCTTCGAATTTATTATTATCCTAATAAATACCTATTAATATTAGTATGTTAATAAATACCTATTAATATTAGTATGTTAATAAATACCTATTAATATTAGTATGTTAATAAATATCAAGATATCTTTTGACGTTCATTAAAGATGTACAGAGAAATGTGTCTCAAATGTCAGTAAAAAAGAAAAAACAGATTTCATAGAAGTTATTTTATTAACGTCTATTATTTCAAACACAAAAGCAAACAGGCAAAAGAAAGATAAGCAATTTTCCCCAAACATGAGAATACAAAGATTAAAATATAAATCTCATTAAAAGAATATTATGCATTAAAATTAAACAACATAATGAATAATATGATACAAGAAATATTTTAGATTCAAATCGTTTAAGGATGTTCTAAACAGGTAACATAAAACTATAGAACATGCAAAAAGTAGAAACAGTGGAATAGCAATATTACAAGAGTTTACGTTTAAAATGCAGATTTTATATTTATTTTTTAATTCATATTTAAGCAAAAAGTAAAATGTTGAATACTCGATTATATTTCATCATTTCATAAACAAAAACTAAACAAAGTTACTTTTTTTCGCTTCCATTCAGTATACGGTTATATTCTTATCACTTTGTGCTCTTTATATCCTAATTAGCATTTACAAAAGCTGAAATATATCGTCAAGATACATTTTGAGTTTTCCTTGAAACAATAATTGTACTAGAAATGTTCAGAAAAAAGTTCTTGCCAACTACTCGTATATTATGCATCTTGTATCATATATGTTCTATTATGCATTCAATTTCCGAAGCCTAGATTCATATATAAATATAATGCTTGACATTCCTTTGCTCATTCATATTTGCCAAAACGTAAATAAAGTTTAATATGGAAATAATAAAAGCTTAGTGAAACCTTAGTAAACTTTTAAAATTGGTTTTGATTAAAATACATCATCGAATTCACGGATATGGGCATTATTTCTGATACTCTCTCCTATATTGCGACAAGCCAGTCTAGGGGTAAAACCAGTCTTAGCAATTAATAAAATTAATTTATTTAGCTGAAATGCTAAATTAGCTCTATTTATAAAGCAAAGGTGGAATGAATAGAGAACTTTTGTTTCATGAAATAAATTTTCATTATCTGTTGAATCCTTTATTGAGATTACTACACTTTAAGATTTCGAACTAACGCGCGTTATTGAGATGGATTGCAAATAATGTAAATAGTATTAGGGAGTGCCTGTTTAAGCACTTAAGATACACTGTTATGGGCAAAATACTTATATGCATGTACATGCATGTAAATAAAAAAAAGGCACATGTATCCATTCTTCCATTTTTTAAAATCCGGTAGCTTGTTTATTGTTTCGTTTATCTGATTCAAAACATTTTCCAGTTTAGCAGATTTCATAGCATTAATCAGTATTTTTTACTAAACTTCAACATATTTTGTGACACATTAACTAATTTATAAACACAATGAACATTCTGAATCAGCATGAAATAAGATTTAACGATATACAATTCACTGAACTTTGTTCAAAATAAAACTTTGTAAAAAAGTAAAAAACTGAGGTATTTAATTCATATAGAAACATTATATAAAATCTATTATGCATATACTCCATATATATTTCTTTTTTCAGAAGTATAGAAATTAATATCTTTTGATCAAAAACGTTTAGCAATGAAAGAAATTCAACAAAAAAGAAAGGAAGAGAAATTGCATGGTTTTTATCTTCCTACAAGGTGAAAAATATTGGAATCTTATATTAGAAGCAATATAAAACTCAAGACATTTAAAATTAAAATAAGCATTTGATAATAGGTTAGAGTGTCTTCACAGTTAATCAAGATTTGGAAGAGTAACTAATAACTAACCAATGAAAAAATATATTTAGTAATTCCGTTTCTCGCCTGTACGATAAATAAAGTTGTTATAGCGCAGTTACACAAGAAATGAATAAACCATATACGTTTAATTTATGTTTTGATATAAACGCAACATTTTTATCTGCGTTTAAGTCATTTTTTTTAATATTCGAAATCGCAGGTTCTTTCCATGTACGTTACTAATTGCTTTGCTTTGTGTTATTTTTATATGGACATTATTTATAACCATATTTTAATCAATTTTTCGAAAACAAAAATCGGAGCGTCGAGAAACATGGCCATTTCAGTGATGGTGGCCATGATGATGCCCGTGATGATGTCCATGATGGTGGTGATGTCCGTGGTGATGGTGATGCCCATGGTGATGATCATGGTGATGATCATGATGATGGTCATGATGATGATCGTGATGGTGCCCATGGTCGTGATGATGCCCATGGTCGTGGTGATGCCCATGGTCGTGGTGATGCCCATGATGATGTCCATGGTGATGGTGGTCATCATGATGACGGGCTTCAACCTCACCTTCTGGAACGGGGCCTCCTTTTGTCATATTACTTAAAAGAAGTACGCAGATAACAGCAAGAGTAATCACAGGTGCTTTCTGTAAATAAAAGAAACTATATTATTAATGAATGAACATGGTTCATCTGGTTCATCATGAGTTGAAAAGAATAATTTACAAAACTGGGTGTATATTTCATCTTTTCATTTAAACAACGTGTACTTAAAAATAAGTATCGTAATAGGAATTAAGAAAAAAATATGGATCTAACTTTCTTCAGATTATGGCATCAAAGCGAAATACTAATGTTTCAAACGCGTATAAGTTACTCTTTCATAGAAAAATTACGTATCTTTTTTAATCGATAATATATTTTTTAATCGATAATATAAGTCATATTTTAAAGTAAAGCAAACGATTTTGACCAAGCATTGTCAAAACATGCTATTTGAAGTAATCAGATTAACATTATTAAAGAATTAAACAAAAAAGCAAAAAAAAAAACGAAAACGATTATTAAAGAATTAAACAAAAAAGCAAATTATCTTCAATTTTACTTTCTAATACAAAAATATTACGAAAAACTGCGTATGTTTTTATTAAATGCATAAAAATAAGTATTGAGCATCTTTAATGGAAAAACAGAAATTTTAGGTTGGGGGATGTTTGAAAAATTAAAACGCAGTTCGGAAATAAATCTCTCGAATCCACCTGAATTTCATAACACGATATTTTGCTCTATACGTTAATACCTTTTTTTAAAGCCCAAAAATTTAATGAAGTTAAATGTAAGTTTACCACGCTCATTATTTTGAAATTGCTTAAAGATCCAATTTAACAAAACAGGCCTTCTTTTAATGCAAGTTTCTTAAAATTTTAAAACACGAGCTTCATGATTAATAGTTTCTATAAAATAATTTTCTACCAGCACAAGATAAACTTTGCATTTACGATGAAAAACAGTCTAAAAAACTCTTATACGTATTGCTTATTCCCAGCACTTAGCAAAAATAGCTTTTCTCTTGGTCTTCGGAATTTTAGCTTGTCCAGCAGGAGACAGTGTCAGAATACTGATGCTGTAGCTTTTTCAAGTTGCTAGAATATTAAAATATTTTCTGCATTTGCAGTTAGTACTTAAACTAAATAAGAGGCTTAGAAAGGAATCCACGTCCGATTTTTGAACTATAAAAGGATTTCAACCGCAGCATATAAAGTAAAGAAACAATACAACAATTTAGCGAGCATTTCTATTTCTTTATACAATAGTTCGGAGGAAGTATGTCTAGTTGGTTACTAGATATAATGGATTACTAGAAATTATTATCAATGTTAGAAATTATTTTTGCTCTTTAGAAAAAGTATTTTTATTTGTTCTTTATGCTCCTATGGAACTGAAGTTTAATAATGTATGGATATTATCTATATAACACAAAGCTATATTTGTCTAATCAACAGGTCATCAATGAGAAGGCCTCTGATTTCCCGTGACTGCGTTTACTAGTTTTCTGCAAGGAATATTTTTTTCTTTCCCTGCAAAAAGAATTGCTAAGTTCTGCTTTCATGCGCTATTTTAAAAATATTTTTCCAAATGTATGATTTTTATTTTTCTCAAATGAAAATTATTTTGATTGCACTTCAATAAACAGAAGCATATCAACTACAGGTTACCACGCTCTCATTTCGCTTTTATAAATGGTTTTCGTACAGCATTTTAAAACCTTTTCAGAACCCTACTGTCTCAGCTCAAAGCTTTCTGAATTTTCATTGCTTAATGCATGATTTTGCTATTTGTGAGTCTCAAAAGCAATCATTGTCTCTTTGGAAATACTAACTTATTTTTCAAGAGGATCGAGTACCTAGTAGATCAACACATAATTATCTAAAATGGGTAATAGGAGATGGGATAAAAAGACTATAAAAATAGTAGATCACATACTATTATCTAACAAAATAAAAGGAAAGAATGAAAGGAAGAAAAAAGAAAGCAAATTTCAGAAGAGAAACGAGCTAAAGTAAAATTCAGAATTAGGCAAAAAGCAACTTCAAATTGAGGTAGATTAGAGTAGAAGCAAGGATTCGGGTAACTTTTTTTTAAATACCCCAAAATTCAAGGATGCTCTGAAATACATCCCTTTTCTTCAAGTAATTTTTTTTCTTGAAGGAATGGAACTGTTTGGTCTCGAAACCGGCCAACTTTTATTCAAATTTAAGCTACTTTTTTCTCTTAATTTTGAAGAGAATTTATAATTATATAATATTTTGGCAACAATACAATTTTAGTCATAGAAATACTTTCATATATTTCAAAGGCCAAAAAACCGAAGCCGCATGAACATGAGATGCGGTGTTTTGGGAGTTTAGTGAGCGTTAGTGAGCAACGGATAAAGCCTCACAGTCTTAATAGAAATCAATATTCTTAATAATTGATGGTTGCAAGTTTAATTACTTACTACTCAGTGCTGACGAGAAGTATAATATTATCAGTTATGTCAAAGGACGTAATTATATCTTCTTGAGGGGAAGGTTCCCTTCATAGAGGACGTTTCAGGAGGAACTGGTTCTTATTCATATTATACGAAAGGAAATTACATTTATCCTGTTCATTCATGAAGTTTCGAACCGGCCTTAAACTTCTTTCATAAAAGTATTGTAGTAATATAATGCTGACAAGGCAGTATATCATTATCATGTAAACAGAAATAGGATTTTCTTAAATTTCTGCTGAAGGCATACCTGCGAATGGTAGGTCAGCATAACTACTTCAGCTTGGATCCAAAGCCCAGTGCTCAGGCTGGCTGTCTTTCCGTTTCCCAGTGCGAATATGAGCTAGAATATGAGCTCAGAAAGTAATCGAAGAAAACTCTCATTTTAGACACCTAGTCCTCACTTGTTTTGTCGTATTCCTATTAATTCCCAATCATCAAACTTTTGCCACCCCTCATGTTTCATGTATCAGCCTATTGGTGACGACAAACCGTTTTTTCCTATTTTACACTGGCAATACGAGTCAAACTGAATTGCTCCCTTTAAGATTTGATTCAACCATAAAAAGTTAAATTTTTAACATTTAAAAATCATAATAATGACGGGAAAAGAACTCTCCAATTAAAAATGAAGTCTAATTTTATTTTACTTTACAGAAAATTTTAAAGCTTAAATTTTTAAATAGGTAAATAGTTTAATCTAAAACTGACTGCCAGTTTTAGTCGAACATGAATTTCTTAACAGGATGGGTTATAGATGATGAATGAAGATTATGTTAAAAGAGTGAATTAAGTAATTCGATTTTAAAAGCAAAATCATTTGACTTGCACTCAAGAAGTAATCGTTGACGAATTCGTTTTCCTGTAGATTTCTTGCATTCGTTTTTTTTTTAGTTGGAATTTTAAATCAGCCAATGTTTCCAGTATTTGCATTTAAGATTACCAGTCATTTTTTAGTCTTTCTCATGTGCATTTGCCGAGCAAATTGATTAGGATTTCCTTTTTCTTTGCACTACTTTCTCGAGATTGCTGTAAATCTTCAACTATTGCTTAAATTCTTTTGCATGACTTTCACTGCGTTATAGAAATGTGCCTACAAATAAGCATGTATTAGCATTCAGTTTACTTATGCCTGTATTTTATACGCTGCTGGAGTTACTACACCATAGTAAATGGTATTTTCGAAAAGACTGCATGTTTAAATATTACTTGAATGATTAGTCTTCCATGTCCCAAATTTAAGAAATGTATCAAATCAGATAGCCTTGCAGATTGTGAAAGTTTTTATTCACGTAATTTCTTTTGCTAAGAATCTATAAAACTGAAATTTTTAAATGTGTAGGGAGAATGTGTCAATGAGAACAATGTTTTCGATAGCCAAATTAGAGAAAATACGTATCATCTATCAACAAATGATTAAAATTGCCTATCATATCATAATTGAGGGATCATATTATATACATATATGTACAAACATTGCAACAGAAAACTAAGAAGAAGAAGCTGAGAAGCTGAAAACTAGTTTTCAGTTAGGAAAACACTAATTGCCATTAGTAGCAATGCTAAAATTAGAAGTTCTGTATTCGATAAATGCAGATTTAGAAGACCACTAAATCGAAGACTTTTCCTTCTAAGGAAAATAATTTAATTTACTCAATATTAATGCTTATTTTCTTGTTATTTCGTAGTATGGATCAGCTTCTGCCTAAATGGTCTTTAAAAAGATGAATAAAAACTTGTTAAGGTAAATTTTCTTTTAAGAGATCTAGAGTAAAAATTATAATCTCACTTTAATTTAAATCACATTTATTTAAATATAACACCTAAGCAAAACGACCAGTAGGTAGAAAGCGTGTGTTATTAGGTTGATTTCGTAAACTGGAACCATAGGTGTACATTAAATAGACAACAGATATACAGCAGTGCAAGGTTTTTGAAACATACTGTTTCTAAAAATAAGAACTGCAACAAATTTGGGGCAGATTTTTCAGATATTTCTTTACTTTGAAGACCTCAAATATATTGCAGCGTCTGTCTTAATAACAAGTAACCCATTTCCGTGATTTTAATTTAACTTCCTCGTTAGTTTACTTTTGTTTAAGCTTTTACGTATAATCTTAAAATTCTAGTTCAGTTTGACTTTAATCTTGGTTATCTCATGTTTCCTTTTGAATTCTCGAATACAGTTTTGAAAACTATGTTAATTTTATAATCTTCCATCTCCGAAATTTTCCGCTGTTCACTGTAAAAGTTTTAAGAAATATATTAATATATAAGTATTTATTATTTTTACTTCATTAATTTTGTGTTCTGTCATTTCACAGAATCAAATAATTAAGTATAATCAAAGTCGCCGTATGTAAATCTCCATACGTAATGCTGAGAATCCTCTCACAGAAATCTTAGAATATATTCATATAATTTACTATCTGAATTACTAAATATGTGATAATATAATTATTAATACTTAATCTTTAATTTTATGTGTATATATATATATATATAAATGTATGTAACCACAATCTAGGTAATTACTCAAAATTCTAGAGGTATGTAATTCTATAAAATAAAACAGCAAATAATGAATTTGATTGCAAATATCAATAATTAATTCAC